AACAAATCATTTACTTGAGCTTATTGTCGAATCACGTTGTAATACACAATGATACTCAGAGGAGCGGATGAGAGAAGAACAGGGTCAGTTCTAAGAGGAGTGGCTTAGTTGTAAAAGCCTAGAGAGGTAATAATTGCAAGCACTTGAGGAAGGTGACACGGGTCGGCTAACACTTAGAGAAGTGTATTGTGTGATTATCAACATGTGAGTTGTAAAAGTTTTCGGTGAGCTTTTGGAAACCAAATTGTGTAGTTATTTGAGATAGTGGAGAATCTCCTCGAGGTGAGGAGCAGAGACGTAGGTCAATGGTTGACCGAACTCTGTGATCATTTCCTTTTGTTTGTGTTTGGCTTTGACGTATTTTTATTGTCTCATTGTTTATATCGTCTATTGCTCATTGTATATCCTTGCATGTATCATTGGATATCACATTGCTAGGATATATTGCATACTAAGTTTTAATTTAGCATTGATATCGGATTAGATTAGCAATTACTCTATTCACTCCCCCCTCTAGGGTACTTTCAGTAACATGCATGTATACTTATTTATATATACATACTACATAGTAATATATGTATTTTTTATATACTTATATATGTTATCTTTATATAATCATACTTATATGACATACGTATATTTACAAGTACACACGTTCATAACTATATAATATAAGTATATTATATTTATATAAGTATACATATATGATATACGTATATATACTTAAAGTATATAAATATACATAATAATATACATAGTTATAAATAAATATACTTATCTATATATACATATTACATAGTAATATATGTATTTTTTATATACCTATATTATCTTTATATAAGCATACTTATGTGATATACGTATATATACAAGTACACATGTTCATGACTATATAATATAAGTATATTATATTTATATAAGTAATTAGATATATGATATATGTATATATACTTAAAGTATATAAATATACATAGTAATATACATAGTTATAAATAAATATACTTATCTATATATACATATTACATAGTAATATATGTATTTTTTATATACTTATATTACTTTTATATAAGCATACTTATGTGATATATGTATATATACAAGTACGCATGTTCATAACTACATAATATAAGTATATTATATTTATATAAGTATACATGTATACTATTTTTTTAATATGTCACTTTTACTAAATATTTAGCAAAATTGACCGTTTTACTAAATATTTAACAAAATCGATCTCTTTTTAGCCAGCTTATCAAAGCTAACCAAAAAGAGGTCTGTTTCGCTAAATCTATATTTCAAAACACATGGGACTACTAGTCTCGTGTGTTTAGTGGTCGCTAATCGGCTACTAAACAAGTTTCAGAAAACCCACGGGACTAGTAGTCCCGTGGGTTTTCTGAATAGTTTTTAGAAAATACACGGGATTATTAGTTACGTACGTTAGATAGAGAGTTGGCGTCGGCTGCCCAGCAGATCCATGAGACTAGTAGTCCCGTGGATTTACTGAGCAAATAAAATGTGCACAAAACATGGACAGATCATTCTAATTAAATATATACCTCATATATATTGATCATACTAATTAAATATATACCTCATATATATTGCTAAATATGCACAAAAAATATAAAATTCGCATCATATACATTGCTAAACAATACAATCGTTATATAAGTCATAAACATTGAGAAATAAACATTAATTAAAACACATTTAATTAATTCACAACATTACAACACAGTTGGTAGCTCATATACATATCCATATGCCAAAATGCTCCCAACAAATCCAAATGTATCAAGTATATGCAGTTACAAATAGAGTCTAAGTAGATAAACTAATAAACTATGATATACAACCTAAAAGTCCGATCCTCCCATGTTGTCTACCTCTTCATAACTGCTCTGATCGTTGGCGTCCTCCTTCGACTTGAGCTTGTATGTGCTCACTCTCCGGTTGCATGTGGGGCTACGGTTGCATGTGGGGCTGAGACGGACCAGCTTCATTATCATGCGAGCAAGATCCACCTCTTCTTCATCGGCGTACATATACCCTCTCCTCACGCGCCATCCACTCGCGACCATCATGCCGATCCTCATGGGTTCGATGAAGACCTCTATGAACTCTCCGCACTATCTGCTGCAAGACCGATACATGTATTGATTCTCCTCTAGTGGTAGTTATGCCCTCATTTGCTATCTCCTCTATCTTATCCATAGTGTCTATCTGCAATTATGTAAAAAGATATATATATAAACAACCAAAAACTAACAAGTGATTAAAAAAACTAAAAATGAATGGAAAACTATTTGAAATTACTTACTCAATCTATATCATCCACAACTCCTTCTTTCCCGACCATCTTTCTCAAAGCACCAAAACAAATACGGAACAAATGAAGAATAGATCCAAAACTAAAAAAAGATAGAGTCTTCACCAAAAAGATCTCACCTTTATCACCAAACGAAACCCTAGGCGAGCCTCGAAAATAACCTACTCCTCCAAATAGCCCAAGCGTAGCCCGAGCCCTTATACTACTTGTTGTGCGCTACGGAAGCCAAACAACCAAACTAACGTGCTACGAGAAATCAAATCAAACGAACATCGAGAGAAGGCCAAACGAACCAAATCAATGCCACAAACACAAATAACCAATTTTAACGTGATTCGACAAGTTGCCTACGTCCACGGGGCAAGAAGGGGATAGGGTTTTTCACTAATAGAGAAGAAGAGTACAAACTGAGATTACAAATCATTCAAACTTACCAATTAATCTCACCAACAAATCTCTAATTCTCTCCAAACAAAACCCTAACCAATAGCTCAGAAAATATTTTTTTTCTGTGCACCAAATATCCCTAAATTTCTTCTCAATTCTCTCTTCTAATTGTTTCATATATATAGAAATTCTAAAATCATAAACATACTAGGAATTATAAAATAAAAAACAAAACAGATTAGGAATCCTAATAACCTGTTACCAAAACAGATTTGGAATCATGTTACCAAAACAGATTAGGAATCCCAATAACTTGTTACCAAAACAAATTAGGAAACATATTAGGAACCTGCTATCCAACAATTTATTTAATATTAAAAATATACTTTTGACATCGTACTCTCTTAATATTTAGAGCTCCGCGGAACACAAAGAAACTATACTTATTGTCCCTATTATTTTAGAATGTAGATATATGGATAAGAGTTCATTAGGGGTTTGTTTAGCTTGAATATTTTTATAGCTTTTGTGCTATACTTAGTGTTCAGTTTTGGTTTGTTATATGAGAAGAATATTGTGCGGTATAACTTAATTTCTTATTTATGTTATCATGCTTAGACCGTCTCTCCTCTTCCTTTGTTGGGTGTGTGTATACTCAGATCACACTGGTTTATGTTATTCTAAAAGTGACAACCGAAAATTAATGTCAAAATCCAGCCAAGGTCTGAATTATGGAAAAAGCCCTCCTCGTTTAATTTTTGGTTGTTGTGTGACTTTAAAAGCACTAAATATTTTAATATAAAAGGCATCTTGCTCGCATCAGTTTGTAGTGAAAACTTGAAATATCTTCATCGTTTATCTAATTTTGTAAAAAGTCTAAGTATATTTCCTGTGTTACATGGTGTCATTTTATAAATTCCTTATCCTATCATTTGATGAGCTTTGAGATGGCGGGGAAAAGAATGCTTGTTATTTTAGCTTGAAGTTTTACCCTTTTTATAAAATTTTTGTTTTAATTGTTGGATTATTCTGTTATATTTTATCATACCTTTAAAGGGATTTATATTTCAGAATTACATATCTAAGGAAGATTTCCACTATTCACTTGTTGGTTTCTTTGGGCTTAGATTTTCTTCTGATCCTATTCCATAATATATGTGTATCTTTTGAGAGATCTTTGTTTTCATTGGGATTTTATTCCAACGCTACCACATTATATGTATTTTACAAAATTGACATTACATCTTTTATTTTTTATAATAATTAACCCCCCCTCCCCCCCGGTGTATGGTACTTTCCTGATCTTCTGTTGTTTGAAATCAATAAAGAGGGAAGCAAGGAAGAAAATCTACATTATCTCTTGGTGAGCAATACTTTCTATGTTAATGTGAGATTGATGAAGAGGCTTCTAACAAGATTGACGATGAGCTTTTCTTCAAATTATCAACCACAAACTAATGATCTACAGGAAATGTTTAATACTTGGCAGAGTTCTTTATTCTACATGTTTACTACCCCGTTTAGCATTTTAGCAGGTAAATAATAAGTTAATGTATGCGTCATTTCAGTAAGTATTCTTAGCAGAGTTGCACCAAGAAAGGGTGATGATGTCTTTGCTTTGCAGCTGACCTGAATCTTTAGAGTTCATGGTTCTAAGTTGTTTTTTTCCTTCCTAGAGTCCTGTTAAATAGATTTGATGCTTTAAAGAGTTCTTTAATGAAATGAATTGTTTACTTGAGATTAGCATTGTAGGCTCAATTATGAAGAAAATTTCTCATTTCGTTTTGTTTTTTGGGAAAAATGTTTTAAGGCCCCAAAATAAAAAATCTGTTGTGACTAGCCTCTCTCTCTCCCCCTCTCTCTCTCTCTCTCTCTCTCTCTCTCTCTCTCTCTCTCTCTCTCTCTCTCTCTCTCCTCTCTTCTCCCTCTACGCCAACATCCTCAACTCTCTATCAAGAACCAACAGCAACGGCGACCTCGACGGCGAGATTGACAGGTTCTTGATGGGAGTTTTGGGGGAGTTGAGGGGAATGGGAGGGGTGAAGGGGGAGGATTTGAGGGGGACGCGCAGGTTACTGGAAGCGATGGTGGGGATGGGGAGGGAAGGGAGGCGAAGGAAGTTTAATGAGTTGATGAAGAGAGGTGGGTGTGTGCCGAACGAGTACTTGTTTGGGTTTTTGGTTAGGGGGTTGAGGAGGTTGGGGGACGAGGAGGGGGCGAAGATGGTCGAGAGGGATTATGAGGAGTGGGATGTCCATGGGAAGTGGGTGGAGGTTGAGGAGGGGGAGGAGGAGATGGAGGTTGTAGGTGTTTGATGAAATGCCCAAGTGAGTTTTTTTTTAGCTTTTCGATAGTAACTGCTACAATTACAAAAGCATGCTACTAACATTTGCATTACGATCATTTTTTGGATCCAAAACCGATGAAGCCGTCGATTTGTACGAGACGGCCGCCAATTGCTTCAAGCTCGCCAAGAACTGTAAGAATTTGTTTGTTTCGGTCGGTTTGAATCACGATCATCCAAATGATTAGGGGATTCTAGAGTTTCCAGTCTTTTTATTGGTTCAATTATTAATTAATTTTAAAAAATTCTTTTTGATGTATTTGGCTTAGGGGAGAGAGCTGGTGCCGTGTACATCAAATTAGTGAATTGTCACTTAAAGGTTTGTTCTCACTTAAAGGTCTGTTGATATTATTTCGTGTACATCAAATTAGTGAATTGTCACTTAAAGGTTTGTTCTCACTTAAAGGTCTGTTGATATTATTTCTCATGTCTTAGGCAGATGCTGCTAATTCCCTAAACCAAGTTGTAAATCTCTTTTTGGAGATCGGCAGATTAAATATGGCCGCAAGATATTGCAACATAGCAGATCAGAGTACTTGTTGGACCTTAAACTAAGTGGAAAATTTAGAATATTTGTTTCCATATGCATTAGCAGATCAGAGTACTTGTTGGACCTTAAACTAAGTGGAAAATTTAGAATATTTGTTTCCATATGCATTATGTTGCTAATTGCATTTTTATTTAGTTGTGGATCATGTTATATATACAACCCCTCTGTTAGCTGCTTATATGGAAATTATTATGGTGTCCTCGATCTAGATTTAATGAGTCCTCTATGAAATGTTCTGAAAAGTCATGCGCTTGCTATGCTGACTAAGGGTTACATGTGTGCGCGGGAACTTGGTGAATTATATGAGAAAGAACAAGACATTGAGAAGGCTATGGACTACTTTGAGCGAGCTGCAGATCTTTTCCAGAGTGAGGATGTAACAACGTCTGCAAATCAATGCATGCAGAAAGTTGCTGAATTTTTCTGCTCAAGCTAGAACAGTAAGATATATACCTTGCTTGGAGTAATTATTTAAATTTATATGTTGAAGTTATAAATTAATTTTATTTGTTCACCATCATTTTGTTATGTAAAACTTTAAAATTATATCAGAGCAACAGACTGGAATGTTAGTAATTCACAAATTTAATCTTTTTCATTTATACAGTATCATATATCTAACTAGCTTGCTACTTTATATCATGCAGTTTTGATTGTGAAATTTTTGTTCCGTTATATATGAAGGCTATAATCCATGGGGTTGATACGAATTAAGTAACTACTCCCGATGCTGAGTATAATGTCATCCGTGCCAGGCTAGCAGCTGAACTTCTAATAGAAGGATGTCAACAGAAGAATCAAGCAGAGACATTTGATAAGGATAGGAGAAAGCTATTCTAAAAAATGATTGGTTGAACCAAAACATGTGTGCATGTCTGTATTGTGTATATTAGTTTAGTTGTGTAAACAGTTAATGTGGATGACAAACAATGCAGCAAGCTTGACCTTTATTATTCTTATTGTATTTTCTGATATTTTTGCCACTATATATTTATGTTTTGTTTTGATACAACGTATATTTAACAGGTTCAAATGAAAAACTACATGTTTACTTGAATGTCAATAGGAAAAGCCAATACGTAACATGTACATTTGACAAGCTAACATATTCAGTTGCATGTTATCATGTTATAAAGAAGACTGACATGTAATAGTAAAAGTTAACATATTATGCTGAAAGTTAACATGTTCACAAGAAAGTTAACATATGCAGATGAAAGTTAACATATACAGCTGATAGTTAACATGTTCACGTGAATGTTAGCATATAAATCTGAACGTTAACATATACACCTGAAAGTTAACATATAGAGATGAGAGTTAACATGCAAGAGTCTGGGCATACCCCAACTAGGAATCTGTATCTAGTTGTTGTTGGTAGCATATGTGAGATGGGAAAGTTTGAGGAGGTTCTAGGTCTTCTATGATTATTTTGCTTTGGGGATATTTGAAAGTTAACCATTTTCAATAAATGTTAGCGCAAAGAGCGGAAGGCTAACATGTTCCCGTGAATGTTAACTCATTCAGGTGAAAGTTAACATGTTCATTTCAAGCATATGATTAGTCTTAAAACTTTACAGATTACAAAAGTCTGCAACAATATCAACTTTTTAGCAGCATATAATCATTTTGTTTTCCTTTCTAGTGTTATCATCATCATAAATGCAAGGCTTTGTCTTGGTGTGGATGGCAAACTACACATGTTATTGTATTTATGGTATTTTGCCACCATATATCTACATTTTGTTTTGATACAACATATTTTTAATAGGTTCAAATGAAAAAAAAACTACATATCTGCCTTAATGTTAACATTATTAACGTGAAAGTTAACATGTAGAGCTTGAAGTTAACATCTTCAGATAAGAGTTAACATATTCTAGTGAAAGTTAACATGTTCAGTTGAAAGTTAACATGTTCGGCTGAAAGTTAACATGTACGGTTAAAAGTTAACATGTTCAACTGAGATTTAACGTTTTCAAGTGAAAGTTAACATGCTCATGTTAGAGTCAACATTTTCGTCTGACGATTTACCTTTTCAACACTTACTTTTTAAGCTGAAAGTTATTATAGTACCAAAATAATTAACAGGATACATAAACAGAATACCTCAACTAAACAAGTACATTACACAAAATTTCTTACATTCTTGCAGCTGATATTATTTAGTATACAAATATCTTACAGAAACCACTCCAATCTCCATGCAAATCTACACAATTTAGTATACATGCATTCTTTAGAAAGAAGCTGAGCTTGATCTTCGCAGCTGATACTTTGGTTCTGGTGGCGGCTCAGAATGTAATATTGTGTCCAACTCCTAGAAAAAAATAAATGAAAAACCTGAGTTACTTGGGCATTTCATCAAACACCTACAACCCCCATCTCCTCCTCCCCCTCCTCAACCTCACCCTCCTCAACCCCCATCTTCATTTAAAAAAAATAAATGAAAAACCTGAGTTACTTGGGCATTTCATCAAACACCTACAACCCCCATCTCCTCCTCCCCCTCCTCAACCTACCCCCACTTCCCATGGACATCCCACTCCTCATAATCCCTCTCAACCATCTTTGCCCCCTCCTAGTCCCCCAGCCTCCTCAACCCCCTAACCAAAAACCCAAACAAATATTTGATCTTGAAATTTTGCATTGCATTCATACGAACATTAATGCTCGCACACAACTCCTTGTAACTCCTCGTAATGTTTCTAACAAAAAAAAAGAACCTACAAGCTCTATGAAGAGCATCAAATAAGAAAATATAAGTCATCTAAACTATGTTGTGTTTCACATAAATAGTTCATGACCTGCATATATGTTCAATGTCAGCGTTTCTAAAGTAGTTCACAAACTGTAACAGGCAAAGAAAAACACCTTTTACAAGGATATATATATCATGCTTCCCTCAAAACAAGGATATATAAATGCATATGCATTTAATCAAACTTACAAACCATTAAGTCTATTAACCCAAACAATTTGTGCGATAAAACACAGATTTCATTCTAATGTGTGAATTCTACTCAAATGAGCATATTGCATAAAAAATGTGTCATCGCCAAATAAAGAGAGAAAAAATAATTAAAATGCCAGGATAAAACAGAGACAAACCTAATTTGGCCAAGTTGAATCTCTCTCCCTGTTATGAACCTTGACAAAACCACAAAAAGCTACAAAGTATCAATAAGATCCCAAATTCCACATAAAATTCATTCAAGTATCCAAAATACACAACTAAAAAAAATAAGAACACTAGATTCTCTGAAGGGGTGCTCTTTACACTAACAGGGAACATGTAGAGCTATTGAACTGCAAAATTTTGGAAGTGAAATCAAAATAATCAATTTGCAACCACTGGCTTTGTTTCTATTGAACACTAAACTCACTGGATGTCTTGAATTTTTTGCATAAAAACCACAAATTTCCACCTTTAAAACAGACGAGCAATGAGACAATGGAGAGTTAAAATTGGGAACATAACATACCAATTAAAATTATAGAAGGGACCAAATTGAGAAAAGAAGAGAAACCCATCTCCAGAAACCTAGATCTGCAGGAAATTTGACTAAAAAATAGGAAAATTTTTGAAAAAGGGAAGAACCTTGAGCATGAACAACAGCTACAATAGAGTCCTCTTTCGTGCCGCAATTGCTCATTTTCTTTCTCCTCTCTCTCATTCTAATCCTTGAGTGGAGAGCTAGGGATCGGCGTCGAGGCTCGAGCGGTCGAGGGCTTGCTCTGGGAGGCGTGGCGAGGAGGACGTCGGCGATGGTGAGGATTTGGTCGGGGCGGTCGTTGGAGAGCTTGGGATCAGCGTCGAGAGGTCGAGGGCTTGCTTGGTGAACTGGCGAAGCGTTGGGATCCAAGTCCAACAAGCAACAAGGTCGCGGGCGAGACTCGAGGAGGGAGGCGGCGGTGGAGTGGAGGAGGGCGAAGGGGACGGCGAGGAGGGTGGGGAGGAGGCCGAGGCGGAGGGGGCGGCCCCAAAAGGAGACGAGAGCGGTGTGGAGCTCACGGAGGGGCACATAGCAAAGGAGGACCCACTAGATGCCAGATGATTGTGATGGTAGATCACCAGCTCCATGGGTTAAGAGGAAGAGTTCCTGGGTGAGAGACGTGGGCATTTTAGGTAGGTTGGTCAAAATACACCCAGTACATGTATACAAATGAGCTTTTGAGACTAGACCACACTTTTCACACTTTTTTGGGGCTAAATGCTAAGGGAAAAAGATGGTGGGGCTGGGCCACATCTGGATCTTTTTTTGGGGGGCTTGAAACATTTTTCCCATTTCAATAATATGAGGGATTAATTCACAATAACTTAAAAGTTTAGGGACCCAATAGTAAATTCATTTATTTAAGGGACAATTTCAGGATATAAGATTTAAGGGACTAATATCCTTAAAACCCAAAATCTAAATAAGTACTTGTTATTGCAATACCCTCAATTCTACACATTTTGGAGTGGAAAGGGGAAATTTCAGTTAAATAATAGAAAATTAGGAGCATTTAAGATTCCTTGGTATAACTTTGGAGTACTTCAAATCAATGTCGTCATAGTGGATAAACTGGCAAATACCTAGATTTTAGTGGTTCATTTACAAGTTTGAGTGATTTGGGGATATATAAGCAAATATTGCAAAACAATGATGTATAAATGAGTGGAAATGTTGTGGGGGTGGGGGTGGGGGTGGGGGTAAGGAGCTGGGCGCTTTCGGTAGAAATTTCGCTTTGACCGGCCTTTTAAGGAAGTTGATGAGTTGATGAAGAGAGGTGGGTGTGTGCCGAACGAGTACTTGTTTGGGTTTTTGGTTAGGGGGTTGAGGAGGTTGGGGGACGAGGAGGGGGCGAAGATGGTCGAGAGGGATTATGAGGAGTGGGATGTCCATGGGAAGTGGGTGGAGGTTGAGGAGGGGGAGGAGGAGATGGAGGTTGTAGGTGTTTGATGAAATGCCCAAGTGAGTTTTTTTTTAGCTTTTCGATAGTAACTGCTACAATTACAAATGCATGCTACTAACATTTGCATTACGATCATTTTTTGGATCCAAAACCGATGAAGCCGTCGATTTGTACGAGAAGGCCGCCAATTGCTTCAAGCTCGCCAAGAACTGTAAGAATTTGTTTGTTTCGGTCGGTTTGAATCACGATCATCCAAATGATTAGGGGATTCTAGAGTTTCCAGTCTTTTTATTGGTTCAATTATTAATTAATTTTAAAAAATTCTTTTTGATGTATTTGGCTTAGGGGAGAGAGCTGGTGCCGTGTACATCAAATTAGTGAATTGTCACTTAAAGGTTTGTTCTCACTTAAAGGTCTGTTGATATTATTTCTCATGTCTTAGGCAGATGCTGCTAATTCCCTAAACCAAGTTGTAAATCTCTTTTTGGAGATCGGCAGATTAAATATGGTCACAAGATATTGCAACGTAGCAGATCAGAGTACTTGTTGGACCTTAAACTAAGTGGAAAATTTAGAATATTTGTTTCCATATGCATTATGTTGCTAATTGCATTTTTATTTAGTTGTGGATCATGTTATATATACAACCCCTCTGTTAGCTGCTTATATGGAAATTATTATGGTGTCCTCGATCTAGATTTAATGAGTCCTCTATGAAATGTTCTGAAAAGTCATGCGCTTGCTATGCTGACTAAGGGTTACATGTGTGCGCGGGAACTTGGTGAATTATATGAGAAAGAACAAGACATTGAGAAGGCTATGGACTACTTTGAGCGAGCTGCTGATCTTTTCCAGAGTGAGGAGGTAACAACGTCTGCAAATCAATGCATGCAGAAAGTTGCTGAATTTTTCTGCTCAAGCTAGAACAGTAAGATATATACCTTGCTTGGAGTAATTATTTAAATTTATATGTTGAAGTTATAAATTAATTTTATTTGTTCACCATCATTTTGTTATGTAAAACTTTAAAATTATATCAGAGCAACAGACTGGA